GACTTTAAAACAAAACTTACAACAGTTACTTTTCTCAACAACTGAAATTTAGAATAGTGTGATTAAGAAAAATATGTGAACTGTTTGCAATTTCAAATTAATATTGAGATGCACAGGTTTAGAATTTTCTACAGTTAAAGTTTTCGGAACTTCAGTGTTCAAAAAAGTATACAAAAGCTAGACGTTAAGAACGTATCCAATGCGCCAGCAATTGGATTGCGAAGCAATCCGAAATGAACTGCGAAAGCAGTTCCGGGGGTTGGTGAGCGCCAGCGAGCAGGGGGCGAAGCCTACTAGTTTTTGTAATAAAAAGATAAATTCGATAATGATTGTCAATAATATTTTTGTAATAAAAAGATAAATTCGATAATGATTGTCAATAATATTCTTGTTTAAAAAAAATTCTATTATGATTTCTATTAAATAGTCAATGGAAAAAAAAAACATGATTGTCTCCGATTTTTAAAAAAAATATTTTTTAATTGTTTTAATTTTTAGAATGAAACTAGATATTTGGTTCTACCACCAAATGCGGATTCAAGCCAAAGCAGTTGCGGATCATCCCAAGCAGATCAAATTCTATTATTACAAATTGATGAAGAGTTTGACTTAGCTTTCACATTTAAGAAGGATTTAAAAGAACATTATGTGCTGGAAAACATTACTTTTACCCTTTATTCTCAAGAGGGCACAAGTAGGTTTCTACTTAAATTATTCTTCGATTCCGAAAGCTTATCTTTAAGTACTTATAGAAGAGTAACAATGGAAAATTCTCGGTAACATGATCATCTGAAAATTAAAAAAAATTTCAAGAAAAAAAGTTTGTGCATAGAATATGAAAACATATAATTACTATTACTTTTATTTAATATGATTGAATTAACTTTTTTTATTGAATTATTTTTTTTACTTATCTGAGGTACATAACAATTGAAAATGTTTTACTTATAGTTTTATGTAATTAACAACTATTCTTCAAACAAACCATTTTGTTCCCGAGTGCAGGAAGTTATTGACAGTTAACTTAATAAAAGGTAGAAAATTAAAACTTGGGTTTAAAAATGTAAGTTCCAGGCCAGTATACATAGTATTGCTAGTTAATTATGTGTAGAAGTTTAGACTATTTTTAAATCAATTACTCCATAATCTTACAAGTTCAATTAAATTAGCAACTTATGTCACAACAAACTACATCATTATCATGGACATTAAGCTAGTAACAGGAAACCATCAATTGATGGTAAAAGATAGAACTGAAAAAGTACGTTTTTAGTCATTTTGAATGTGGCAGTAATTGCAAGTCAACTGTGTATAAAGGTTTGAACTTCTTTTAAGTGACTTATATCGCAAATTCAATTAAACTAACTACTAATTTCACAACAAACTAAGTCATTATCATGGACATTAAGTTGTTAACAGGTAATTATCTCAATAGATGATAAGGGATACACGTGAAAAAGTACTTTTTTTAGCCGTTTTGGAGAAAACCTTCGTGGGAAGTTTTCTTTCACCTGCATAAGTAAGATAAAGCAGTGGCGTACGCAGAATTTTTTCAAGGGGGGGGGGGGTTCATAATTTTCAAAAATTACTAAAAGAAATTCGAGCATATTATAAAGCACTAAAGCACTATTATTTCCCTAATTTAGACAGCTAGACAATTTTGACTTTCTATTTAGACAACATTGTTTAGTTAAATTTTGTTTTTATTTTTTAAGTTTAAGAATATAATTTTTTTTATAATAAGAGGTAAAATATTTTATTTTTATTAAAAAGTAGGAATAAATCAAGCCAGAAAAAACTACTCATACTGTAACAGCTACCTAAATAATAACCATATAAATGTGAATATTCCATAGAAAACCAATGAATTTAACTAAAAAATGACTTACCAACAAATAGGGAATTAAACCAGTATACAAACACGCTAAAAATTTATTGATTTATACTGTAATATCCAAACGACGGGGTTTTTTTGCAAGTTCGTTTAAAATGTCTTCGACAGCTGGGGTAAATTTTCTATGAATGCTTAAGAGCGCCAATCCATTCATTCTATTATTTCCCGTTGAGTTGCGTAAATAAGTCTTCAAACGGCGCAAAGTCGAAAAGGATCTTTCGTTTGCACTCGTTGAAACAGGTAGAACGACCAATATTTCTAGGAGTTTGAAAATGTTTGGTGTTATATCTTTATTGCACATTCCAAGAGCATCCGCCGCAGTTTTTGGAACACTACCTCCGTCTTCACTAATCCTTTTTAATCTTTTATACCAGAGTTTTAGTTCAGACTTAAGGCTTTCTTTACAGGTATCCAAATCTCCAGCGTAAAATTCCACTAATGCTTCAAAAGCCTTTATGTTTGAAGGTTGGCAAATGAAAGGATCGGCAGGTAGAAGACACTGAAATCCTTTCAAAATATCACGATGCGATACAAATCTTAAGTTTAATTGTGTTATAAAATTTTCTATAAATGGAATAAAAACACTAACTCTGAAATATGTTTCCGGTGTCGATGAGGGAAAATTATCGCGATTTTTCTGTCTTCCTGTTATTCTAGGGATTTGCATGGAAGTGGAAGATCCAATGCTTGTTAGCATAAGAGAAGAAGAGCTGAATATTTCAGAGAATGTTTCAGTGGCATTTTCACGCATTAATTTTAGATCTTTAATGACATCTTCTGCAAGACTCACTGCCTCTATCAAATCTATGCTTGTTTTTTGTAGGTATCTACAGAGATGGATTGTTATGGTGAAAACTTTGTAAATGCACAAAAGAGATATTACGAACTGGCAATTAGATACTGTGCACAGTAAAGAATTAGCCTGGGTAGCTGATTCCTTATCCTTCCATTCTGATATTTTTTGTAGTGTTTCGGCGATAGGCTCGAAAAGTTCCACCACAGCGGTTACTGAGTCGTATCTTTCCATCCAACGGGTTGCACATAGCTGTTTAATTTTCTCCCTCTTAGAGCTGGTTTCCATCTCCTCTATTGCTGAAGATAGGACATACTGTCTTTTTGGCGTATTTAAAAAGTCGTATAATGTTTTAATTGTCCCTAAGCAATTTCTAATGCCAGTTATTTCGCATGCATTTGATACAGCCAAATTGAGGCTATGAGCAGAGCAATGTACATAGAGTGCTGATGGGACAATACTTCTTACGTGGGCTTGTACACCATTAATTTTTCCACTCATTGATGCAGCACCATCGTACCCCTGTCCACGTAACTTTTTTATATCAACTTTCATAGACTGTAATTGGTCTAATATTGTTGTTGCTATTGCTTTTCCGGTTAAGTCATGCACCGGAATGAATTGCAAAAACTGTTCGGTGATGTTAAAATTTTCTTTATCGACATATCGAACGCATAACGATAATTGCTCTATACCTGCAATATCAGTTGTTTCATCTGCAAGAATGGAAAAGCAAGTTGCATCATTAATCTTGCTGACTAGTTTTTGCAGGATTAAAATATTGCAAACCTCAATAACTTCGTTCTGAAATCGAGGGCTGGTATACTGAGCATTTTTTCTGCTTGACTCTAAAATGTTCTTAAGAGTCGAATCGTTCTTACTCCGGAAACGAAGCAATGCCCGAAAATTTCCGTCGTTCTCTTCACCTGGTTGTTCAGCAATTATTCCCGAATCCTTATGTCCTCTTAGAGCGAGACCTTGATTTCCACAAAATAGGATGGTTTCAATGATTGGAGTAATGTTTTTTCTATTTTCTAATTTTCTTCTGCTTGCTGCACTGTCAACTTGTTCATCCACAGGTTTCATCTTTCCAAATAAAATATCGTTTAATGTCCCAGCAGTTTCGATCGATTTTTTGTGATAAAGACATTTCTCGTGTTCAGAAAATCGCTCTACAGCATTTTTCCAGTTGTCAAATTTTACATTGCACAGTTGGCCTAAAGGTTGCTTTCCAGAACCGGCACCACTTGGGGCGAAAAGTACACAAAATTTGCAAAAAGCACCACCCTTAACCTCTGAATATGCAAGCCATTTCCAGCGATAAAGCCATTTGTACTGAAATTTCAATTTTCTTTTTCCTTTTTCAGGAAAAACAAATGCTGGATTGGGTTCCCAAACATTTTTAAGTATATCCAGTTTTTTATCCTCGCATGTATTATCTTCTGAAAAAAGTCCAATGTCATATGGGTGGGAAGTAACACTTTGAGGGCCGCTTTCACATTCATCAGATTCTGTTACGCTAGAAACGTTTTCTTCAACGGAAGTATCACATTTCTGTTCAACAGAAAAACTTACATTGGTACTAGATGCTGTCACCTCACTAATTTCAGGTCGTGATTTTTTCTCAAAGTAATTAAAAATTGTTAAATTCTTGCGTTTAGACATCCTAAAGATCCAAGAACAGCAAAAATATATACATATATATTGGCACAGAAATATCCACTAAGCTACGATCTCAAAGTTTCGAGCTGGAATGAATAACTTCAACGAGCACAGAGTCTCCAAAACAAAACAGATTTAGAAACAAGCTCCGAAGGACAAGCGGCAGAGATAACTCTTAGTCTGACTAAAATCGAAAATAAATGTAACCCCCTTTCATATAATTTTTTTTAACCGCATCTACAAAATTCTCGAATTGTCTCAAAGACGACAGAACGTCTAGGATTCCAGACCTCGCGAATGCCAGCCAGTCTCGAAAACTATCGCGACTGGCAGGACAGAAAGGAACCAGCGATCGGAGCTCGCCCGTAACAGTATCACGTGAATTTGGTTTCAAAAGTACAACCCTATAATAGTAAATGTTTTTTCAGTATTCTGAGAAATACCGTGAGAAAAAAAGTAGGCATAAGACAAATAAAAATATATAGTCTTAAAAAATAATAGCCAGCATATTTTCTACTGAAATTTTTATTTCTGTCTGTATTATTTTGTAAATTCACTTTGTCTGAGCTCAAGGGGGGGGGGGTTTAAACCCCTAAACCCCCCCCCCCTTGCGTACGCCCCTGAGATAAAGTTTAAAGTATCAAAAAGTAAGTTCTGGTTAACCTAGAGTAAGCAATGAAATTTCTAATTTTGAAAAAAAAATTACGTATCAAAATGCAAACAAATTATGTCAAGATTACTCTGGATTATGTTTTTTTAATGACACTTGACAAACAAGCTCTTCAGCTATTGGGTTTTTGCGAACTGAGTCAGGAAAGTGCGCTTTTCGTTTAGAACAGAGCACAGCAAGTGTGACAGTACGTCTTAGCTCAAAAACTCCACGGATAGATGGCAGCAGCACCCATTCGTAAGGCCACTTCTTCAATTTAGACAAAGATCTGAAGGAGAAAGAAATCATAGCTTAATTTAGGTTTATCTGAACTCACTTTTCTCTAAACTTTGAATATTTAAAAAGTAATGAAGGTGAAAAGTTTCTCCCGAGGTATAGTATTCTGTTAAGTCAGTGATGTTGACAGTTAAGCTAACGACTGATTTTGCTGGGAACTGCTCCATAACCATCAACAGAAAGTTATTAACACATAATTAATTTAAAAGATGATAGAAGTTCGTGACTCAAGTATCTTCTTATCTCCTTTGAATATGACAGTAGTTTCAAATTCATTTTATGCGAAGCTTTGGACTTCTCTTAGGGTCTCCAAGCAGATAAAGGATTTTAATTTCACCATGTTAGCTTACGGGGAATTATGTGTCCATTATTAAATCATTTATTCCGTAACTAATTAATATTATGGAATAATTTTTGCTTCATTTTATTAATTAAAATGTGTTTTATTGAGCTTTGTCAACGAATTTGAAATTTAAATGTTATAAGCATTTCTAAATCTTGAACTTCGAAAAAATTTAAACTTTGAAGAGGTTTTGAAAATACTTAAAATTTAAAATTCATAGAACATTTGCAGAAGAATTAAGTTCAGTAGAATAATAAGTAAAAATAAGAACAAAAATAAATTAGAAAATTCCGAATGTATAAAATGTGAAGGCTCTGAATATGTCGAATTGCTGTAACTAAACCATTAATTACCATTTGAAAGTAATTTTATATTCATTATATATTTTTTATTTCAGATCATTTCTATAATGATATTAAATTGTTTTCTGTTCAAAAGCATTATTCATATTGGTGTAGGAGTTTGATTACTGTTTCCATGAAAAATGTATCGATGGAAAGTTTTGAAATGCACATTCAAGCTTTTGGTGGTTCTGAGAAAGATTTTTCACAGGGTACGTATTTTATTTTATTTTATAAAGATCGTTGAAAGGTCGACCCAGTTTTTTGCGCTTACGACTACTAAGGTTCAACTCCGTAGCCTTGTAATTTTTAACCCAATCCAGAAGACAAGGGAACTTCTGAATCAAGTATTGGGAGAAATTTGCCTTCGTGGAGGACTGCTTGATAGAACTAACCCGCATTAGTGTTTACATGGAGAGGAAAACCACGAAAACCTCCTATGGTTAGCCTGACGGATTCTAACCTACAATCCGTCTCCTACTGAAGATATTTTAAGTCAGCGCAAGACGGATGCGGAATTCGTATCGACCAGCCGATGTTGGGATTCGAACCCGCGACACCTCATTGGAAGGCAAACGCTCTATCCCCTGAGCCATCACGGCTCCACAGGGTACGTATTGTAATTTTATTTTATAACCGGCGTTAAGCAACTGACCCAATTTTTGGGTTTACGACTACTGATGTTCAACTCCGTAGCCTTGTAATTTAGAATCCAATCCAGAAGACAAAGGAACTCTTGGACCAAGTATTTGGAGAAATTTGCTTTCTTGGAGGACTTTTTGATCGAACTGTTCCTTATTTGCGTTATATGATAAGGAAAACCACGAAAACTTGCCATGGTTAACCAGACGGAAAGGGAATTTCGACCCATGATCTGACCACAGAGGATATTTTTATGTCAGCGCTGTGATCAGTGCGAGCCGGGTGCGGAATTCGTATCGACCATCCATCGTTGGAATCGAACCCAGGTAACCTCATTGGGAGGCGAGTGCTCTATTCCCTGAGACACCAAGGCTCCACAGGGTACGCACTATAAATTTTGCTCTAACACTATTAAGAAATGAATAAATTGTGTTCGAATAAAATGTCCCCATAAGAACATAGCTGGACAAAATCACGCGGAATTTTCGAATTATAGTAACCTTAAAACTATAAAACTAATTGTAATTTTGGAAATCCATGCTTTCTATCATTTAAAATGAAATATCTGGTTTAGACACGAAATATAATATTTTACTCTGGCCTCAAAACTTAAATTCTTGATGAAGTGGACACTTTAAGGACAGAGGTTCGCTAGAGAGGTGTTAGCTTAGGAGAAAAATATGCAAATTTAGAAATATAATACTGAGAGCTACTTTAATTATATTAACATGATAGTTGAAGAAATTGGAAATAAGGATTTTCATTGATATTTACTTAAAGTTGATAAAATTATAATGAATAAAATTCAAGGATAACTGAAGAAAAAATACGATAAATGTGTGTTACTCTCATTGTTTTCAGCAAATGAGTAAATGTATTATGTTTTTAATATTATTTAAATTTGTAACCTAAATTTTTTTCTTCGCAAATGAGCCAGTGGTTATTCTAATGCTATAACTAATTCAAACTTCATTAAAGATTTATTTCCTGATCAGAAAAAGCTTTTGTTAAAGCTGATACAGTTAATTTATCAAAAATTCATTAATAAATTTTAATGATAGTTTTTATTTTAAAAACAAAATAAATAAAAAAACTTTTTTTTTTATATATATCTTAGGAAAATTCTCAAAAAGGAAATTATTATATTTTACGCGAAAGTTGATTTACGTTTAAATTGAAAAGAAGTATGTAAAAATAAAATTGGTTGTCAGTAACTTTATTTTTTATATTATAACCGTCGTTGACCAACCCAATGCTGAGTTTACGATTAATGTTCAGCTGCGTAGCTTCAATTTTGAACCTGATCCAGAAGACAAAAGGACTCATTGATCAAGCATTTGGACAAACCAGCTAGCGAAGGACTTGTTGATGAAATTAACCAGCATTTTCGTTGCATGGCGAGAAAAACCACGAAACCCTCCCATGGTTAGCCCATAGACAAGGGCCTATAAATCTATCTAACCCATGGTCTGTCTACCCGAGGATATGTCACATCAGTGCTGTGGTCAGTACAAACTGGGGGTAGAATTCGTATTAACTAGCTACCGCTGGGGTTCGAACCTGGGTTATCTCACTGGAAGACAAGCGCTCAATCACCTGAGCCTCAATCACCGACCTTTAATATTTAAACTAAATCTATACTAGAAAGAGTGCTTATTACGTCTTAATTCTATAAATTTAATTTTCAATCAATCCGGTTCGGTTAACCGTGAGAGGTTTTCGTTGCTTCCGCTTCCCTGTGTAAGAAAAAACCGTGTTAATTTCAAAGAATATATATATATATATATATATAAAGCTNAAAATTGTGAATTGTTTTAATTGATTCCTAAAAGCAGGATCTGAACACTAAAACGGGAAAATGAAAATTCAGGCATTAACTCAACATTGCTCAACCATGAAAGCGTGCTGTTCTTTCCTTTAGCGCTCCATATTGAATTACCCTAAACTGACTATTGTACCGCAGACTTTTGTGTTTTTGTTGGCAAAATTTTATGGAACAAATGGAGTAAAATTCAAATCTTACGTAATTTTTGAGCAACCTTTAAACGTATCCATATCTGCGAAGCATTTTTAATAATGATTGAGTTCCGTGATAATTTCGTACGATTTTTCTTTTTGAACTTGATCAGAAACATTGAAACAAAGCATAAGTACAAACAGAAACAAAGAAACAAAGCATTAACATTCGAAAGTATAAGGAGTAAAAAAGAAAATTTATCGTTTCAAAGAAGTCAAATAATTTAAATTTAAATATTTTTATATTATTATCCAAATTAAATATGTAGTATATTATATTATATATAAAAATTAAATTTTATTAAGATATTTATTTGTATGTTTCTCATTTGTATAATTTAAAATTTGATCGTATAGAGATATAACATTAACGCCAGGAAAGAAATTGTAGTTCATATAATTAATTAATTTTTGATTAGAGTGATCGAGTATTTACCTACAAAATGCAATATTTTCTTTTTGATTTTTTCATTATTGCACGATATTAGGCATAAAGACATAATGCCTAATATCTGGGTACAATATACCCAGCGCATATAGGAAAGAAAATATCCCTATAAGGTCAATGCATATACAAGTATGAAGATTTTTATGCCAGCACTGTAATATGAATTAAATTATAGAAAGGTTAATAATCAAAGAAATAGCATATATATATATATATATATATATGTTGTTTGACCAATATTTATTTTTTTAAATTTTAAATTCTTTGTGAGACAAAGTTTTTTGGCTTTCTTATCACTTGAGGAGAAAAGAAACATATTTGCAAATATTTATATTCTATAAAGATGAACTGATTCTAAGCGGTGTATTATTTAATCTGCTAAACAAATTGAAATATGAAAAGCGTAATTCTTATAATTTTTCTTTTGATGACTATTTTCGGGTGAGAAAATTAGAGATTTTGTGTGGACGTCGTTATTCTTAACAATTAATTAATAGATATAATAAAATAATGCATTTACTATAACTCGCGTTCAAATAGTCATTAATTGTTCGTTGTAAATAGTAGGTAATTCTTATATTTATTAAAATAACCATCATGGTCTTATCTATTTTGCCGAGCATGACTTAATAAGTTAACAGACCTCCCAACGGGTAAACTGCGCAAAGAATGTAAAGGATAAATTACAACTGTTCAGTGAGACTAACAGAAACTTTCAACAAAAATATTTAATTTTTGTTCTAACTTAATTTTTAATACATTCTGTCAAAACTATCATGTGACTTTTTCCGAATTCCAACGAACTGTTCAATGAGACAAACAGAAACTTTAAACATATATATCTCTTTCATGTTTGTATGATAAAATTTAATTTTGGTTCTAACATAATTTTTAATACATGCTGTCAAAACTATCATGTGACTTTTTCTGAATTGGTTCTGGAATTAATTGATGAAATCGAAAAATAACATGAATTTTCAATGCATTTCTCTTCTTTTGGAACTCTTTTTGAATCTTCAGTAATCTCTCGCTTAGATCCCCACTTAATGTGCTAATTTTGCCATGTAGAGAAACAGTTATTTAGATTATATAAAAAATAATAATAAATTAAATAAAATTCAAATACGGTTTACTCAATTCATTAATGCCCGGGGAAATAGTCTCTCCCAAAATCATTTCCTCTGTGGTGGAACTCAATACTAATTATTATAATGCACTCCTTTACTAAAATGGTCATAAGTTCTATACTAGCGATATTCGAATTTTTAATTCCTATTCAGCAGACATTCTAGAACCAATATCAAGTGTAGGACTTCTCGAAACACCATTGTCTCAAATAAACGAAAATATCCGGAGTCCGTCTCCAAATCTCAGAATCTTTGTGAAATTTATTCAATACATTTATTTTGTATTTAATAAAGTTTTCGAACCAAGGAAATGAATGATTTGCATACTGTTATTGTAAATATACTGTAATTAGTTTGATGAAATTAATAAAGATCAATCTTTTAAAAATAATTTGCAATTTGCTTTTTTTTTAGTGCTTTACTTATTTATTTTTTCATATGATGTAAAATGGCGAACTTTACTATATCCAAGGCTCGGAATTGACATTCAAAGCACAGTATAAAAGCAAACGATTTATAAACCTTTGATTTAATAATCGGATTTTTACATAGTAAGCCTAAATCTTAATGGTTTACCTTAAATAATCATATAATAAAAAATACCTATGTTAAAATTAAGATACCTTTTACTTGCAGCATTTAAGAAACAAATTAACTTAAATGGTCTTAGAGAGTATATGGATAAAATTTGACGAACGGATACCACTTGTTTACTTTTTAAAAATGTACTAGGAGCCTCCGCCCCCTGCTCGCTAGCGCTCGCCATCCCCCGAGAATTGCTATGCAATCCTATGTGGTTCACGCCGTGAACCATGGCTCGCTGCGCTCGCTCGCCAATGAACACAATGTTCTAGCACAAAGACATAATATATTATCATCAAAGACATAGTATTTTATCATCAAAGACATAGTATTGTACTTATGTAGAAGAATTCTACCAATGTTCTTATTGGCTTTTAAAAAAGTATATTAGCTATTTAGATTGTACATGGTGAAAAAA